TCTACTTTTCTCCCACTGATCACTCTCTCTAGAAGACACACACAACAGTGGGTGTAATGATGCTGTTAGCCTGGCAAATATTTCAGCAAAGTTATAGTCACTTATTTTGAAAAATACTGGATTGGAAGCAAAGTGCCAAAAGGGGAATTTCTAGCCAGTTCTAGCAGTGAAGGTGTTTGCCAAGAGGCACTTCATGTACAGCCCCTGAGGCCAACTCTACCCTAACTGAAATGGGCCATGGGTGGAGACTGTCTCCTCCCTCCAGCTGGGTTCCTGTCCTACCCTCCTCCAAGAGTGTAGTGGGAAGACAGCCACGTGTACAAACGGGAGATGCTTTTGTTATCAATTTGGGCTGAACAATTTTTTGCTTGATCAAGTCAGCCCCGATTACTTCCAGTGAGCTGAGAGGAGACCCAGAGCTCTTCTAGTCCTCCTCCACCAGCTGTGCCACCCACTGCGTTGGTCAGGCTCTGGCTGACCATGTGGCTTCTCTTAGAAGCACAGGGGGCATCTCCTTCTCCATTGATTTTCTTCTCTGCAGGGTGGGCACTGGTAAGGATCAAACCTTTAGGGTTTCCATGGGTTCTATGATCAGCAGGACGAGTAGAACTTACCAGAATAATAGATCTCTTTCAGAGGGGTCTCATTATCCCTTGGATCCTGACTCACCTTGAAGGGCAAGGACCAAGATATTGCCTGATCTTTTAGTCCCTCAGACTTCATTGATAAAGGTCTCCAAGCTTTGATGCTTGAACATCCAGAATGGTAATTTCTACAGTCTTCCAGCTTTCACTTCTTGTTACATTTATACAGAGCTTAGACAAAAAAAAAAAAAAAAAATCTGATTTTCTTAAGACTCAGTTTCCCATGTAGACGAAGGCTGACATCTTTAACTTTACCCACTGACCTCAAAAGAACTGAGTTTAAACTGTATTCGTAGCCTAACCGTGACAAAATGGGGTAACCTGTCCACACATTATTAAACCACAAAGTCCTCATTTGTTTCCAGTCCTGAGCAGACATCACTGCTGCTTAGCTTTCCCTAAGGTTCTTTTACACATTTTATCTTCTTATAAAAGTATGAGAGTTAGACAATACCAAAAACATTCTGGGTATCCTGCACCAGGCCACAGCTGACGACCTTAAGTGGCCACGTAGGGCTCAATACACGATGAGAGTCCCTGCTGCAGAACTGGTGCCGGCTCTGGCCCGTGCTGGCAGCCAAGCAGCCACCATAGAGGAGCTGTGGAGGCGAAGGGTATCGGAGAAGGAGAGCTGGGGAAGCAACGCCGCCCATAGGCTGCGAGCACAGTGGTTGTGCCCTGTGAGCCTCGGGGTGGTCTGCACTGAGAGTGGAGAGATGTGCCCAGACGCCCTGACTACCCACAAGATCACCCCGACTCTGGACAACAGCAGGATATCTGAGTCAAGTCTAGGCAATGGTCCAGTATTTATGGTACTTCAGAAACCGGAAACCGTGAACCAGACCAATGACTGGTTGCGAAGAGTATTGGCATGTAAAGCCGTTTGAGCAAAAAATATATATACTGTGGGACATTCCAATGTCACTTCAAGGAACAAATATGTGATGGAGAGGCAGGAAAGATGAAGGAAGGAGCTGGAGTGAAGAGAGGCAGAACTAGAGACACAATGGCAGTGACCAGCGTGGAAGACGGCTGCAGTGGACTGGGGGGAGCATGTAGTTGCCAAGTAGGGCTTGCAGGGTGGTATGCAGTAGCCTGAAGTTTGTACGGCCTCTTCCCCTCTCTCGCCAACACGCTGATCAGCCTCCTGATCACCCTGGCTCTGAGCAACGATTGGATGCTTGAGATGGACAATGATTCATTTACTGGACTGGGCCTCTTTGAAAGATCTTCGGGGTCTTTGCTGCCCCTAGAGGCCATCTTAATATCCGTGTTCCATGCTACAGCCAGGGCATGTGCTGGTGGTGTCCATGGTCCATGCTATGCTGCCTCTCCAGGCCAGTGTTGATGCCTGAGGTCCATGTGAATGGACACGTTGATGTCCATGGCCTGTATATCCATCGTCTGTGCTACCGCTGGAGGCCATATTGATGTCTGTGGTCTGTGCATAATGATTGCAGGACCTGAGCTGCCAACTGAGGGCATGTTGATGTCCATGGTCCTGCTGCAGACAGGGAACATGTGGATGCCCATATCCCAAGCTACCACCAAAGGCCAGATGGATGTCCGTGGTCTGTGCTGCCACCAAGGGCCATGTTTATGTCCATTGTCTTTACTGAGGCCAGATATCACGCTGAAGTCCGAGGTCCATGCTGACGCTGGAGAAGTCCATAATCCATGCTGCTGCTGGCTATAGGGAGCAGAGAAGCTTCTATTGCAGTGCTATCAATGACTGCAGACTCATAGTTGAGAATGAGAGACATAAAGGCTTCTGGACAACCTCTCTCCACCACCCCACTCTTTTACTTCCTCTAAAAAATAAATAGTCTAGACGGGAAGCCATTGAAGACAACTCTTAAAAATTGTGGTAAGGTTGCCGAAGTGTAGTTCTCCACAACAGCTGGCTTCTGGCGGGAGCTGGGGGTGGAGAAGAACTCAGTTTTCTTCAGGGGGTTGGCCATTTGGGAGTTTGACCGTTTTCCAGTGAGTATATGGGCAATGCAGATTGAACTTTTTTTTTCTGTTCTTTTTCTTGGGGAAGGCCACAAGGGTGAGGGGTGGGCATGAGAAGATTGAGAAGTAAATGTGATCAGGGTGCATTACGTGAAACTCCCAAATATCAAAAATATTATGTTGGGAGTGGGGAGAAAAAAACCAAGAACAAATTTTTAAAAAATCAAATATACAAATAAAAAAAGCCTTAAAATAGGATTGGGGGCTAAATGCTCAGAACTATTCCCTTTGTGAGATGATTTATTATAAACTTCTGACCTCGATCGAGAAAGCCATAGAATCTTCTACAGCCTCAGCTTTCTGAGATATAAAATGAGAATTTTGAGAATTAAGTCAGAGATTCTGTATAAACATGGTGTTCCTGGTGCATAATAATTGCTTTATACATGTTAGTTATTGCTAAATTCTAAACCTATTGCATGCCCCTACCAAAATCTTCACAAATTTTGAAAAACTAATTTTAAATGGAAGAAATGAAAACTCTAAATAAAAATATTGTGTTGAATAGCACACGGGACAATCAATGTTTTCCCAAGGAAGGGGCTTATATCTGTCATGGACAAGAAATTATGGCTTAGCAGAATGAGTGGAAGCTAGACCTTAGAACAGAATACCTATAGCCTTGACATTGTCAGTGGCCTAAGGAAATCATTGACCTTCTCATAAGCCAAGATGTTCCTGTATATGTGGAAGTGTTGAACATGCTTTTGAGCATGGAGATAAAGATACTACCAAGTATGACCATTAGCTAGTAAGATTACTCCTTCGTATAGGTTGAAGTATGTACCCTGAAAATGTGTTTCATCTCTACTCCCCAGAACTGCCAAATATTACCTCCTTTGGTAATAGGGCCTTGGCAGAGATAATGAGTTAAAATATAGTCATTAATTAAGTTGTGCCCTAATCCCATTAGACTTTTGCACTCACAAAAAGATGAAATATGGACACAAAACTTGACACACAGAGGAAACATCACGTGATCATAAAGGTGGAAGCTGAGGTCATCAATCTACAAACAAGTGATCAACAGAATTGCCATCCTCCTACCAGAAGCCAAGGGAGATGCCAGAACACACTCTCCCTTGTAGTCTTTCGACTAGAAACCAATATGGTGACCCACTAGTTTTAAGCTTATTAACTTCCAGAGTTTCAAGAGAATAAGGCTCTTTGCTATGGCTATCTTAGGCTATTGAATGCTCTTAGAATCTTCCCGTTGGCCCAACCAGGTGGCTCAGCAGGTAGAGGTGCTTGTCACCAAGGCTGACAATCTGAGTTCAATTCCAGTGTCCTACATGGTGGAAGGAAAGAAATGACTCCCACAAATTGTGCTCTCTCTCTTTCTGTCTCTCTCCTGTCTCCACCACACACACACACACACACACACACACACACACACACACACACACACACACACACTTAATAAATGTAAACAAATACATGGTATTTTAAAAAACCTTCCTGTCTTCCCAAACTATTTCCGCAGCCTTGCTGCGGCTTCTGCACCCTCTTGTCAGTAAGACGGCTGTTTCATAGCCTCCTAGACGCACAATCTGTTGTTCGGAAGGCAAGTTTTGGGGCCTGTTTCCCAGCAGCACAGCCGCCACACCCGGGAGAGTCGCCAGGGCAAAAGGAAGAGCAGGCGGTTGAGCCTCGAGTGCACCCACAGGCCAAGTTCACGGGCAAGTTAGGCAGCAGCTCAAGCCCCCAGACTCTCACCACGCTCGGAGCTTCCACTGCTGGCAAGAATCAGCTACCCATACCGCTCTGCAGCAGGAGGGGCTGCGCTCAAGATGTTACTGGGGTCTAAAATGTCCAATAACTCACTCAAAATGGTGCCCTAACTGCTCCTGGAGGAAGTCCCTGGTTCTACTGTATCTTTGGGGGAAATCCCCTAATCTTACTACTTTAGTCTCACATTGAAAAGTTCTCCTCAGGGGACAGGAGACATGGCTCAGCAGTTAAGAGTACTTCCTGCTCTTACAGAGGACCTGGGCTGGGTTCCAAGCACCTACATTGGGCAGCTCACAACCGCCTCTAACTCCAGTTCCAGGGAATCTGACGCCTTCTTATGGCCTCCAAGGGTACTTGGATGTACATAGTGCACATACAGACAAGCAGGCATACACACATACACATAAATACAATTTAAAAATTAAAGATCCCTCATACTCTGTGCACCTCAGCCCAGCCAGGGAGTGGGCAGGAAATTCAAATCCAGACCATCAGGCTTCCTCCCAGGACTTTTAATTTTTAGCAAGGAAAACATTTTTTTTCCCAATTTGGGCGTAATCCCAAAGACCAGATGGTTTCTGCATCAGAGTTCTTGCTGCCAAGCTTCTGGAACTGAGCTGCCTACAGCAGCTAGCTGTCTAAAATGGGTGAGCCAGCTTCTGGATAATATTTGAGCTGCCGATATACTTTTGATATATTCTGCTATCTTTTCATTTTTCCTCACCTCCTTCCACACCTTCGGGTAGACAGAGTGTTTTAGAGACTTGCAACCGAGAAACGTGAAAAGACTCCTGCAAAGAGAAGGTAAGACCAAGATGCAGCCCCACCTCATGTGAGCAGTGGGGTCTGAGGAAAATAGCTTGCTCATTTAGAATGTGTTTGCTGTTAAAGAGAAAGCAAGGAGGGAGGCGGTTAGTAGAGGAGTTGAACAAGGAAAAAAAGTTCTAAAGTCAAGCAGCCTTCCAGACCAAAGATATTCAAGATGCCAGCCCCACCCAGAAGTGTCCCACTCCATCTGCAGGTTCTATTTATAGCCAGAAAAGAAGCAAGGACAGAAAGACTTGAGAGGCTACAACTGACATTTGCCTGTATGGTCATGTTTTGGCTGCTGCTATGATTGACTGAGACTCGGTTGCTTAGTTACCAAAGGTCTACTCTTAGGTTAGGTTGCAACTTACTTACACATCAAGCTAAGTTACACTTCAGAGTGTACAGAGGATGCATGAGACCAAACCAATATGGAGACACAGTTAAACCAAACTTGATTTAATGTCTCACCTCAAAACAAAGAAACAAACAAACAAAACCAAAAAACCCTTAATTATGTGTATATGGGAAGTGTGCACATGAGTCCATTGCCCACGGAGACCAGAAGAATTGTTGAGGGCCCTGGAGCTGGAGTCACAGGCTCTTGTGAGAGGCCTGAGAGAGTGCTAGAAGCTGACCTCAAATCCAACACTGTCACTTCTTATTCCTAAGAATGTTAGTTTAGTCATTGAGAAGGCTCTCTGTTGCTGTCAACCCAGTGCAAAGCCAAATGTAGGAAAAATATGCATGGAATCAGATACAGAGAGAAGTAGAGGTGGGGTGAACTTACCTACTTCAAAATCACACCCCAGATTTCTTCCTGAGTATTGGAATAAAGTGTTGGAAGGTGTATGCTCTAAAGCACAAAGACAACTGTAGGATGCAGCTCCTGGTATATAAAGAGGCCCTCTTGGTTTACACATCTTGTGAATGTGAATTAATTTGTTTCAGACTTTTGTAAGAAGAATTCTATTTATATATATTATAACTGAATTCATGAGTCATAATCACACTGTACAATAATATGCCCCCCCCAAATCGATATCTATGAGATGTTTTCCTCATGCCTTAACATATTGGCTATGATTTTTAAAAACAAATGTTGTAGTTGGGTTTTCTACTCAGAAAAAGGATGCAATAACTAGGTTCATTTTACTGAAGAGACTCCACCTTATCAATACCGATTACACCAAGAAACTGAACACCAGGAAGTAGCAGAAAACATTCCAGTGTCTTCTCTCTCTTCTCAATGATAACAGCTGCCCTGAGTTTTAAGACCATAGTAAGTTCTCTCTCCCCCTCCCGTGTGCGTGTGCGTGTGCGTGTGCGTATGCGCGTGCGCGTGCATGTGCGTGTGTGTGTGTGTGTGTGTGTGTGTGTGTGTGTGTGTGTTTTGGGCGGGCTGGCCACTGGGCGCCAGAGATGCACTCAGCCCCACCTCCCCAGGGCTGGGATGGCAATCACATGGCACCACACCTGATGTTTTCTTTCTATACGGGTTCTAGGGATCGAGCTCAGTTTCTCATGTTTCCATGGCACTTATTTACTGAGAGAGTTGTCTCTCCAACTCTGCCTCCAAATTTTGTACATGTATCTGTGTTCATGTGTGTAGGTGCACATACATGTGCATGTGTGTGGAGGCCAGAAGTCTCTACCTTACTCTTCTTTAAGACATGGTCTTTCATGGAGCTCCCAGATGGACTAGGCTGACTAGCCAGCCAGCTCCACAGATCCTCCTGTCTCCACCCAGTCAGCACCGGAATGATGGGTATCTGCCACTTTTTACACGGTATGATTAAATTCAGGTTTTCATGCTTGTTCAGCGAGCACTTTACAAACTGAGCAATCTCCTCAGTCCCACAAAACTGTAATCTAAGCTGGCATCAGACTCATAATCCTCCTGCATCATCCTCTTTAACATCTGCCTCCTGGCAGCTCCTCCACAATTGATGTCTTTTATTTACTGATTATTTTTTATTTATTTTTGAGGCATAGTGTTACTAGGTAGCCCAGATATTCGCACAAAACTCATAAATCTCCTGCTTCAGCTTCGTGAGTTTTTGTAAGATGCACTATTTTACTCAGCTAATTTATTTTTCCTGCATTTGAATTTTACACAAATGGAATTATATACTATGTTTCATTCTGCAAATGGTTTATCTAGATCAGGGTTATGTTTGTGGGATTCACCTGGCTCCCAAGTAGAGCGGTTTACCTTCATTGCTGTGATAGTCCACTGTATATGCACCACCATGTGTCCATTTATTCAACTCTCTACCAGTTTGAAATGCTTCTAGTTGGAGGCTGTTAGAATTGCTGCCATCCTGAGCACACTTGAGTATCTTCTGATAAACATAGGCATTCCAGTTGGATAGCTGCCTCGGAATGTAATTATCATGGTGTACAAGTAGCTACAAATAATTTCTCAATGAGATTGTGGAATACTAGCAATGTTCTGCACCTTGTCAAGACCTGGATTCGAATCTCCAGAATCACATTAAACAAACCAGGCATTTCTGAATGTGCCTATCAGTGTGCAGAGTCAGGAGGGTTCTGAGAGCTTGCTGGCAAGCTGGCCTTACTGAGTCAGTGGGCTACAGTTCAGTCAGAGGCCCTGCATCAAGGGGATAAGATGGAAAGCAACGGAAAAGGGCACTGGGCATCCCACTCTGTCACGTGTATGGGAGTGCGTGGGTACATGCACTCACCCCCCCACACACACACACACAAAGATCTTGCCAATTAAAAAATAAACAAAGCGAATAATGGCAAAAAAGAAATTAAAGTTTATATTGAAATCTTAGGTTACCTAAAAATAGACTTTTTTTTTTAAAGAGAACCAAGGAATAAAATATTGGAGAAGCCGGGCGGTGGTGGCGCACGCCTTTAATCCCAGCACTCGGGAGGCAGAGTCAGGTGGATCTCTGTGAGTTCGAGGCCAGCCTGGTCTCCAAAGCAAGTTCCAGGAAAGGCACAAAGCTACACACAGAAACCCTGTCTCGAAAAAAACCAAAAAAAAAAAAAATTGGAGAAATAATTTTCCAATTGCCTAGCCAAGCCTTCATTTGCATATAGCTCACTGAAGTCAAGCAATGTCTAATGTTGTTTTTAGAGTTCCTAGGGGATTTTTCTTTGTGATCTTTTCTTCTATTAAACACAAATTCTCCTCCCTTATTGCTTACACCAAGTCCCCACGAAAGGAAAATGTCGTCCATTTGCTCAATTAAAGGAGCAGAGGTCATTGCCTCACTCATATTATTACTGTACAAACCATTTGGCTTCTCTCTGCATCAAGACCAAGCCCCGTGTATTGAGATGAACAGGAGGCTTGTCAATGAACTTAATCTAAGGAAGAGGTACCTTTGCGGTCACCCTGTGATGTACGCAGGTAAGCATTTTAGAGCTGTTTATCAGCTTGTTTCTTATCTTAAATTTCACTTCCTCTAATATTTGATTGACATTTAAGGAAATCAAATAATGTTCTAGAATAACATCAAAAGCATAGTTAGTGTTGGTGCTAGAATGTTCCACAGACAAATGAGTACCTAGCAGTTATGGTGCTGGTGTTGGGAGCAGAGCTATTTTCTTAGCTCATGTGGTCTCAATGGGACAGCATGGAACTGTGGGTGTAAGTTGTTTCTAAAGGTTATGTTTTTTTTTTTTTTTTAACAAAAACTAGAGTTGCTTAGGAAGAAGGAACCTAAACTGATGAATTGTGCCTACCAAATTGGTCTTTGGACATGTCTGTAGGGTATTTTCTTGATTAACAACTGATGTGGGATGGCTCAGTCTACTGTGGGCCTTGCCATATCCAGGCAGATAGTCTAAGATCTTAAGCAAGTAAGCTGTAAAAAGTAAGGCAGGGAGCAGCGATTCTCCGATTCTCCATGGTTTCTGATGATATTCCTTCCCACCTCTAGCTTCTCACCTAGATTCCTGCCTCTGCTTGTCTCAAGGATGTGAAAGGTACAACATAAACCCTTTCCTCGTGAGTTGTTTTTGATCGATGTCTTACCATAGCACCAGAAAAGCAAACTAGGAAATGGGGAGTGAAACTATTTTAGATATTCAATGGTTTACAGCTCTTCAAACAGTCACAGAACAGAGCAGATAGAATAGATGCGCTATCAAATTCGTTCAAGGGATTCCTTAAGGATAAGGAGGAGAAAAAGTTTAAATGTTTGTCAGGTAGGGTGAGGAGTGAAAAGATGGACAGTTAAACACTGACTGAATTGCTTTCCTTTTCTCTCCTTTTTTAAAAATGAAAATCTGTGTTAGCTTTGCTTGGCGGCAGTACCACAAACCACACCGACAATCAGGTTTTTTCAAGGCTGCAACTATTGATCATGGAAAATCTATGTGTAGATGCATATAACTTCCTGAAAACATCCAAGTTCTTTGTAGGGATTAATTTTTGACCAGATTTGAGAACCCTGAAAGTGAGTAATGTGAGGGAGAAATGAAGAGAGGGGATGCGGTCATCTTTCTCTGTCTGATGTTTAACGTTGTTTGGTTTCCGTAACCTGTAGTCACAGCCTGCAAACATTAAGAAATAAGAATCGGTGAGTTTTATGATGTATGCATTCTGCAATGCATAATGGAATATCACAGCATCTCACCAGGCACCACGTGATCCATCCTTATCCTGCAGGATTCATCACTTGCTTGGTAGTCACGTGGCCACCATGTCCCTCATCAGAGACTGTTGTGGTTATTTGTATAAAGTTAGGTACTGTCAGCAGTGCCAGGCATCCACTATGGGTCTCGGGATATATCCCCCATTGACGAGAGGAGCTTGCTGGATTTCCAGGCACTGAACTGGCAAGTGAAAGGAAGTTTAGAAAGTGAATCCTGAGAGAGATGCAGTAATAAAGCTTTATTAGATTCTGGATATTTCAAGTTCACTTCTTACATTGTGGTAGATATTCTGCTGCCTGTCTCCATTTATTCTCTCTCTTTCTCACTATCTTCCTATATAATTCTTACGTTTCACTATATACTACAGGTATTAAAAGTGTTTCTGACTGGAAATGTCCAGAAAAGGCAAGTAGACTCATTTAGAGTCAAACACTGTTTTAACAAACCCTCCCTCTTTTCTTCCCTAGTAAATGTAGTTCTGACATCTTTTCATTTCAAAGTTCTGGATGAATCTCAGAAGCCATGGATCTCTCTAGAAGGGGATCTCACAGCCACAGCCATTAGGAAAGGACAGGAAGTAAGAGTTGGCATGGAACACAGAACACAAACAGCCTGCCTGTTCTGGTGAGTGCCCTGGATCCAAGTAGTAATAAGATTCAAAGAAATCCTGTGGTCTCAGAACACTGTCCTGATGCCCAAGATTCCAAATGTACAGCTGGATGGAAGGGACCCTTGGGCTTGCCAGAGACTGACCTGCTAGTGAGCTCACATAGCATCTGGTTGTCTGTTGCTAATTTAAATCTAACATTCAAATATTTAACACTCAAAAATGAATGTCATTTTCATCAAGGGACTCAGAATGTCTAATTACTTATGAAACTGGGCTGCCTAGGTCCCTACATGGTTTTCCCATGGATTATCCTATTTATCCTGTTCTCAGGAGAACAGAGGATAGCATCAGAATCTGTGGCTCTTGTGGACTCCCACCTCCCAGGAAATCTGGGTTCCAGAATTATCAGATAAAATCCTCACCACTGTGTGCATCAAACTGTTTCTCAGTGAAATTAAAGTTGGAGTCCTTCTGGGACATTAACAGGAAGAATCAACTGTTTTCACAGGGGAACACTTGCCTTGAGGTCCACAACTATTTTTTTCTATAGGAAACCAGGACAGGAAAACAGGTGTGATATTTATAAGACAGTTCTATTCTCATTCACCTTTCCCCAAGGCTATTTGAAGAGCCCCATGTTAACTTAGAGATTTATTGTCCTCCACCCTGCCTGGGCTATGATTTTGTTTCCTGAGGTTTGAGGCAACATGTACATACATGCCTTTGAGGCAGCAACATGGGCCAGAAATGGCTTGGGTCCACAGATGGTACCCAGGTTTTTTGCTGTGGCACTTTGAAGTTTTCATATTCTTTTCTTTTCTCTTAGCCATGGCTTTAAATTTATTTTCCATTTTTATTTAGCAGATGTAGGTGATGGCTGTTTAAAACCAGGAAGGATTTCAGGATAACTAGCCAAATCATATTATTAACAACTAAGTTCAAAATCCTGGTTTGGGGATCACTTGTATCATGGAGGACAAAATGACAAGATGGTGGCAGGGTTCAGAACACAGAGCTACCCAGTGAATGAGTGATGTGGGTTCTAACTTCAGCTAAAGTGGTAAAAGCCAGCCCGCTTCTGCATTCCTCATGGAATCCACTTTCCATGAGGATTCTGATGCCCTTTGTCTAACCTAGTCTATGTTACAAGATTGTCTCCACCTTTGTAATTTATACTGTTCTTCCCTTTAACCCTAGTATTTTCTGAACTAAAATTATAAGGGCTTGTGTATTGATGGGACTGAGCCCACAGCTCTTATTGGACATATTATATATAATATACTTTGTCTATATGACATGTGACACATACAATGTACACACACAAATGATTGGAATGTCTGTAGAGTTTGACATACATCCTAAGTGGATTTTATGTACTCTTTCTTCAGTTTCTGGAATGTAGGAAAAGCATTGTCCTGGTAACAGATGCTATAGCTATCTGTGACTGGGTTCTGCCCATCATCCCACCCCCATCTCACTACTGCCCAGGGTCTGTGGATCTGTTCTGAGAATCAGGAGTACTGAGATCCACTGAATTTCATCATGTGTCCATACCTACTGCAAATGTGACCAAAGAACTATGGCTTATTCTTGAAATTGAGCACTGTTTTCATATAAAGCATAACTTCAATATGTCTAGAAGACAAATGTTGAGCTGAATGATCATTGCTAAATTCAGATGTATGTGTAGTGTTATAGGCACTGGCTACCTATATATGATGACAGGGATTCACAATACGCCCCAGTGGTTGCACATGCCTGGCGGACCTAGACACTTCTGCCTAGCCATTTCCGGGTCAAAATAGCCATTTCTGGGTCAAAACGTCTTGTGTGACCAGGACCCCGAGGCTTTGTGTGGTTGTGTAAAGCGCGCAATGCAACCATGTGATCTACGCACATGCGTGGAGTAGCCACATGAGCCTGTGTGCGCAGGCGTGGCCTAGCCTTTATAAGCTGGCGCCATATTCCTGGCTCCACTCTTTATTCATATGTGTTTTCATGGGCCTGTCACGTCTGTCTCTCTTTCCTATCTTAATAAAACTCTTGTTAGTGGATTCTGTCATGTTTCGTAACATTTCCTCACAGGGTAAGAGCGCCGCAAACAACTAACATATGCTTTTATTTTATTTTAATTTTAGTCAAATAAACCTTAGGATTGCTTTTCTATCCTGGCATACTGGTCAAAAAGATGCCAGATTATGAGGACTAATTTGCCCTAAAGGGGTCAGTCTTCTTGAGTACTGACATAATTTGATACTTAAGAAGATTTTAAATAAACACTATTGAGGTTTCAGGGGACTAAAAATTCTCCAAACAATGATCCTCTGTTGTTTTCTCCAGAAAGTATCCTTAAAAGAGGGTCACACTCTTCCTAACTTCTGAGACAAAAGACCACATTTTAATTGTGTCATGTGCATAGTACTAAGGATACAGAAGCATCAGGAAATCTAATGGATATAGTTTTCTTAGGGTTTGGGGAGGAAAATATATCTAAAAAGGTATATGCCATGGGTTACAGGGAGTTAATTGGGAGGGGGTGGTTTTCCAGGACGAGGGAGACGTGTGAGGAAGAAGGGAGGCTTGGAGCAGCAGTGCCGACTGCCTTGGTGCACTTCCTGTCTCTGTTCTGTGTGAGTCAAACTTTATTGTTGCTAGGACAAAATGCCTAACATAGGCAAATTAGGGAGGGAGGGTTTATTCAGTCCACCATGGCAAGCAGGGATGGCAGGGCACACAGCTTTCATCATGGTGCCCAGGGAGCAGAGACAGAGAGACAATGTCTGTGGTAGGCTTCCTTCTCCTTCCACTCTATTAACCACGCCCACCCCAGATGATGCTACACATCACAAAAGGCAGGTCTCCCCGCTTTAACTAACCCTCTCCAGAACAGCCCTCACAGACACACTCAGGAATGTTCTTTACCCATCTCTTGGACCTTTCCCAAACCAATCTGACTATATTAACCTTTTCCTAGTCATAAATCAGTTTGCAAATTTCTGAAAGACCCTATAATTGATCACATGTTTGCATGAGAAGCCACACTGAGGAACAGGGCTGGTGAATGACAAGAAATGGTCTAGGTTGGGGTCTATTAAGACTCCTTTTGGTTGCAAGTGCAAGGAGCATATCCTTAATAAAAGAAACGTTGAGACCCTTAATAATACAAAATCTGAAACTTGGGGTTGGGGATTTAGCTCAGTGGTAGAGTGCTTGCCTAGCAAGCGCAAGGCCCTGGGTTCGGTCCTCAGCTCTGAAAAAAAAAAAAAAAGACAAAATCTGAAGCTTTGAACATCGACATGTTGCTACAAGTGAAAGCCTCCATGCCTGGCCTCCTGGGTCATGACCCTGGAAGGCTCAGACACAACACACAGCTTACCCAGCATCTCCCCCACCGCTCCCCCACCACCGCCAAATACCAATATTCTTTGCCTATGATTTAGTTTTTCTTATAAGTCTTAGATCTCCTACACAGGGAGTCTCATCATATTTATCCAAATATCTCCAAACTCAAAAGCAAAATATTAAAATTCAAAATCACTTCTGGTCTTAAACAGTTCAGGTAGAGGGTACTTTACCTGTAATTGAAACCTGAAAGAAAAATAGAGGCAAATTGTACTAAGCAATTTGTGCAGCTTTATGTTTTCTTCACAACTGCTCTCTTTGGCTATTGTATTTGGGTTGCTGTTTATTTGTTTTTAATGCCTTCTCCACCTAGCTGCCCTCTGGGTAGATATGAATACAGGCAACTTTTATTACTACTGCATTCCCGGTAACAGAAAATATGCCTGGTATTTAATAATGCTCATCATAAAGCTATAGTTATAGAATGTAGTCATAAAATGTCTGATTTTCCCCACACATTACCCAAAAGTGGAACTATATTAGAATGTAGGCAAGGCTGTACTTAAGCACATGTTACTTATATAATGGATGATATTTGCTATGATGGTGCACTTTTAATTTTTAGAATTTTACTCCTCTAGCTTGTCCACAGGCCATCTCCCTTTTGTTTTTCCTAAACATGCCAAGAGTAGCTATCTGTAAAGTAATATATGGATCTTGCCAGATATAAGTCAATAGCATAAGGAAATAGGAGAAACTTGTTCTCTCCACATAAGTCCCTGGATTCCTTTTTGAGCAAAGGCAACTGAAGGAGACAATGATGAATGGTGGCATTTTAAAACTTAGCTTTGGTAAACTTTCTCACATTCAGAGACAAGTATAGAACAAAACTAGCCAGGACAAACTTCAGTGTATGCACATCTAATGGATATGCACCAAAGAATGGACATTTTTTTTTTTTTTTTGGTCTTGATTCCACATTGCTGTGGAGCTATCTTTTGTACTCTGTGAATATGTGTTGCTCCCATTGGTTTGAGAAAGAGCTACATGGCCAATAGCTAGGCAGGAAGAGGTTAGGTGGGACTTGTGGACAGGGAGAGAGTGTGGGGTGAAGAAGGAGAAGTTGCCAGGAGAGGTGGAGAGAAGCCAGGCAGATGCGAAACTAGTCAGATACACAGAAGTGATGGAGGCAGTAAAGTCACAAGGCAGAAGGTAGATCAATAAAAATGGATTAACTTAAGTTGTAAGAGCTAATTAGTAACAAGCCTAAGCGTTGGCTGAGCATTTATAATTAATAAAAAGTCTCCATGTGAGTATTTGGAAGCTGGCTGGTGGGACAGAAAAGTCCGCTGATGCCACATCACGACTTTTAGGAATGCCCCAGGATATGGTGAAGAGAAAGCTAAATTGAAAAGAAACTTGACCACCTGCCCAGGTGAGACACTGAGAGTTTTCCTTGATGTAACTATTGCAATAGAGTCATCTCCCTACAATGGAAGTCAGGGAAGCATTAGGATAATTGACTTTTAGAATAAAATCTTAGAAATTCTCAGAATTTCAATTTTTCATTCTTTTGTTAAAAACACTATTTCTTAATATGTCGTTGTTCTCCTCTTTGGTTTTTTTCCTACCAAAAAAAAAAAATCTTTGGTCTTTCTTTTGCCAATACTAA